ACATACATACATACATACAGATATGATAAGTTTTGACAAAGTGCTAGTGCGTTTTTAAGTGTCTTAAGTTCAATCTTAAGATCACAAGCCAATTAAGAACCGAATCTTAAGACATTACTGAAGACAGTCTTAAAATGAGAAGATTGAAAAATAACCGTTAATTCGATGTCGAACCGATAGTGATTATTAATACTAACCAAAGAATATTTCAAAGCATTTGTAGTATCATGCGATCGTAGCCTATCCTGCACTGTGGTTTATTAAATCCGACATTGATCGCATTCAGCAAACTCACATCTGTTGAGTTGGAGCGGATCTATGAGCGTTCACTGTTATTGGTGTATTCTTTTAGATAGACTAATAGCAGCGAGGGCTCACAAGTGTCTTTATGTACTCGACTTCATTTTTCAAAAAACAATGTAGTTTATAAGATTAAGTGCGATAATTGTGATGCATCGTATGTAGGATAGACGGGGAGACAGCTAAAAACACGAATTGCAGAGCACCGAAATCATATATGCGGGAACACATCTTTCCGTTCAATTATAACCGAGCATAGATTAGAATTCAAACATGATTTCGATTGGAATAATATTCAAGTTCTTGACGAAAAACTATGTTATAACAAGCGGTTAATTTCGAAAATGCTTTATATTAAAAAATAAAAAATCGCCTTAATCTCCAAATTGATACTGAAAACCTACATAAAGCATATATTCCGATTGTAAACAAGGTCTAACTTTGCTTTACCAAGCGGGCTTTATCGCGGGTTTTCTCCGTGTCCAAATTCATTCTTGAAATGCCTTCAAACGCATAACTTTTATACAATAATATCAATAGTTTATAAGACTTTGAGAAACATATACTTCAATACATTCATCTTGGATTATTGCTTAATGTCTCAGGAATAATCAACGAAAGTGTTAGGAGCTATGTACTGCAAAACTCAAAGATCTCGATATGAATTTCGAGATATTAAGAAGCGTAATGTGGCAGCTAATCTGTTAATAACATTTTACATTTATATTTGGTAATATATAGGTTACATTAAAGATACATATATAGATACATTAAATAGAAATATTACAAATTCACTTTTCATGATGGCTTGATCGATGCATTGATAGTGTCTTTTTTGTACGTGAGGAACAATGCGAGCTAATAGTTCCTCAAAAAGATCTTCGTCCATTCGACAATAATTTTTGTAGGACATAGAATCTTGCAAACTGTAAACAAGTAAAATTAATATATGGCAAAATTTACTTCTATGAGCATGAATTAAGTACAGGAGTTCCTTTTTTTATCATATGTAAAACCTCTTTTTCTTTGTTTCTTTCTTGCAACCACTTTCTCATCCAAATTTTTTGGCGTTTGTAATTTTTTCTTTTAATTTTTAATTTAATAATAATATAGCCAAAGCAGCTAACATTTGTCGTTTTTTTAGTTCATTAATTAAAAATAAGCGCTGATGTTTGTCCATCTTTTTTTTAGACACAAAATAGCACAATTTCTATTCTGAAGATGCTGTCGATGATCTGCTCGAATACATGACCATTTTCAATCTTTTCATTGGTGCATGCAAAGAAACTTGAAAGCTTGAAATCATACATAAAAATCATGTACAGAAATCATGGATGTCAGTACGAACCGATCAATGTATGAACGTATTCCAGCATGCATCAGAGTAGGCATAACTGCACGCACGCATATCATTCAAGAAAACGAGCATCGTGTGATTCCATCTTAATGCAACGCTCGTTTTCTTGTCAATTTTAACTCGAAACTATACATTAGCGCAAATTCGCCTTACTTCTGATAAGAAATCGAACGTTAAGCATAGAGCTCATGAAAAAATTTTCAGCGATTTGTTGACACTAGACAAATGTTCATCTACCTTGCGTAATTTTTTGATTTATTTATTATTTATTAATTTTATATAGCTCCATGTATCACATTGCCAATTTTATATTCCAAGTCTTGAAACACGTGTATATATATATCCAATAACTTCATGATACATCTATAAAACAAAACGATTTTACAAAACATAATGAATCTGAATGTATCCTGGATAAATTTTATAACAGTTATCTATTTGATGCAGACAACTCGGAAATGTCGTAGTTATCATTAGACCCTAAATTTATTTCCATTGTTGAGTTCCAAGTTAAACCAGCCGCTATTAAATATCTGATCTATGCGACAAAGGATGCAGTGTAAAATGATGACTGCCCGACCACGTGCAATAAAAACATCAAGTAGCGGATTCAGTGTTAGGGACGAGGGGATGATCTTCCTCTTCAGAATTTACTAAACGAATGTTAGAAAAAAAACAGAAAGTTAGAATTTATTATATAACAAATTTTGTTAAATACATTTTTAGAACAATTTTAAAACACATTTTTAGTGGACTTAAGTATAACTTCGCAAGTAAACACGCATTCTATATTAAGCCATTAGTCATAAATCAGAAGTTAGAAGCTGAAAATTGACCAATCACAGTCGTCAATTTTCAACTTTTTACTTCTCATGTATAATTAATGGCTTATTATAGAATAGCCATGAAGCTCTCGGCACACTTACACAAACATAAGACAGTAAGATGGACCAGTAATTGCATCAGCTAATCACAATTGAGAACGTAAAGTAACTCTTATGATTGGCCGATTTGCTTACTGCTACATCTTAATGTCATTCTACATTGGTGGTCGTTCATTCTATATCAGAAGCGTCGTAAGCATCATCATGCAACTTTTCGATAAAAAATGTTTTATGCGTAAATATGTATAAATATGTATATACATATATAAACACGCATAAATATTCATAAACATGTGTAATTATATATGAAATATGTCCATATTCGTTTACATCCTTTCTCTTTTGTAAAATTAGTTACACTTTTTAGTGTAACAGAAATAATAATAGTAATCCAATAGCTCCAATGCGCTTCTGTTATAGTTTCTACTACGACAGAAATATGATTGGATAATTTTCTTTATGCATATGGTTATGCGGCTATGCAAGTTTGTGTGGAATGACCCTAAATATTAACCTAAATTTCAAATCTACCGCTCTTTTAGCGTACCATCTACCGTTCAATTTTTCAACTATCTAGCAGCATTGGTCATACTTGACGTGACACCGCAATTTATAAATTTTCGTGATACGTGTTATTATTAAATTAAGTGAATTATCGCATAAAGAAATTAAATGAATTATCGCATAAACAAATTTTTCAAAGCTTGTGAATATATTGAGAACTTTATTCCAGAATCCAGAACTACAGTTCAAAGAGAGTGACTCGGATTTTGGACGGATTATTATACTGCTAATTGTTATATTGCTGAGGATGACTACAAAGCAAGTCGAAACATTCAAGATTTTGAAATAAAGAAGACATCAAATCTTGTTATGAAAAAGTAATTTTTATTTATTGATTACTGTGCGCAACTCCTTCCTCGCTTACTCCCAACCTAGACACTTATTAATTATTATTATTTTATTATTATTAAAAGTTTTCATTTGTTACATAATTTGAAAATTATTAACTTTTCAGAGAAATTAGCGCCATGATTAGCACAAGGCGGCAGCGACTTAAATGTGTTTGAACATATTTGTCATACGTTGTCATTGGAATACACACATATAATCAAGGGTTTCAATAGTCTTACTTTAGACCATACATGTGAGTATACAATCAATATTATAAATTAAATGCTTATAATGATCAAAACTGAATCCTTAATGCTAGAATAATGTAAATTATGTATATATATTATATATGAATATATATCATGACATTGTCACATTATAACATTGTTCAAAATTTACGGTAAAAGTGAATTCGCCATTGCTGGGTTTATAAACGCAATTAAACTATATTTGCAGTTTCTTCTTTTTCCTCTTGTGTAGGATATTTTATTATATTAGGTGTTAAAGTCATGATAAACTCTGTGACTCTTATGATTCTGTGCGCAACTCCTTCCTCGCTGACTCCTAACCTAGACACTTATTAATTATTATTATTTTAAATATTAAAAGTTTTTATTTGTTACATAATTTGAAAATTATTAACTTTTTAGAGAAATTAGCGCCAATGCTTATAATGGTCAAAACTGAATCCTTAATGCCGTAGCAGAAAGATGCGAGTTGATCCGAGCGATTTTTGAGGTAAAAGAGTAAACAGACGCTTTTGATTTGCAATACGGAACGTACCTACGAGTATCGTATACGACAATACTAACGTTCAATCAGAAGATGGCTAGATGTGCAAACAACATGACAAATAGGAGATACCAATCTTTGAGTGAAATGAGCAGTAACACAGGATATTATATACAAGCAAAAAAATTAAAAAAGACGGTAATTAATCTAGTTAAAACAGTAGCAAGTAGGTCAGTGAGTCAAAACGGTAAAGCTACCGCTAAAACTTTTTATGCCAATGCTCGACACTCATTAGCCTATAGCGTTTTCGGCTCAACCGGATTTGCATCAACTTAGGTTGAAAAATGCTTCTTGACGTTACACGCTCTACTAGGAGAAACATACGAAACATCATTACTTTAACCCCGGTTAGTTATGCCACTCCAATTTATCAACGCCACTCTAATTTACACCGAGAGTTTGATCCAAGTCGGAATATAAGAATCGATTCAGAATAATAGATTCTTTCGATTTTAGGGGTTGATTGTGTTTAGAATAGTCGATATAATTCGTTCATACATTGATACGTGCATGCTGCATATACATAATTTTTATATTCATTGTGGTTTACTTCACAGTTTATTTTCTGGCATGTACCTATCAAAAGAATTGCTAATTTCACAGGTATTTATGAAACGTCGGATTATAAGATGTAAATAATGTTTTAAGATACTAATGCAGCCCTTTCATTGACTTCTTAAGAACCATATTTAGGCAGTCTTAAATATAAGATTATAAGGGCCATTCCACACAACTTGCATAGTCGCACAAACATATACATAAAGAAAATCATCCAATCATATTTTACGTTTATATATTTTTATCGGCTCTTGAGTATCATTAGGAGCGGATTCGTCATGTAAGTTACGACTATTTTTATCGAGATCCTTCTTTCTCAAGGCGTTTCTGTATCATTATTGTTGTAAAACAGGCATCAGCGAAATTAGTATATATTCTTCGGCCTTTAATTCGATTCTGTAGTCGCGAGGGTGATCCTCATAAAATACCTCGAGAGCATATGAATCGATAGAAGAAATTTTGGCATCGGTTAAGGTCGAGGTTAGTTGATCACCCTCTACTATAGTTGTTCGCAAATCCTATATTTGCCCTATATAATCAATTAAATATATATTTTCTAGGTTTCTTGTACACGATGCTAAGCTGTCTCCGATAATAATTGGTGCTGCTACCGAACGTTCTTTTGAGAGTTTCTAAAAATTTTGCAACTGTAAGGTGAGTTTCGTCTTCTATAGCAAGATATACATGTTGCGATAATTCATTCCTTCGCATTTGCACGAATAATGCCTCATCAACTAAAGATATTGAATCTTTTGCTCTCTTGCAGGCATGCGCGAACTGCTAAATATCATGCTCGTTATATTTTGGAAACGAGATCATAAGATGCCTCGCGGATGTACGATTTCGAATAAAGCGGAGTAAGCGACAGCGAACGTTATATCCGATAATAAATTGAAGAACCTGAGGAATTTCTCTTGGAAGTATCAATAATATCATTTCGATCCAATCACAAATATTCAGTTAAGGCAATTGGTTATACAATTTAAAAT